ATTTCTAACTAAGCCACGGGGCTGTGAATCCTCTGGACACCATTGTGGGCTTATGCTGATGCTCCGTCATCCAGATGACTTGTCTTCACCCTGTTTGAGGATTTGTTGTTAAGTGCCATCGAGTCAGTTAATAAATGTCTGTAAAATATAATTGAATTTGGGATCTTCTTCCCCTGGAACAAACTGTCACCTACAAACCTTTTCAAAGAAGTCCTTGTTGCAAAGGGGTTAATCATAGGCCTGCTAACTCCAGAAGCTGGTGGTTTGAACCCCCCAGCTGCTCTCCAGGAGCAAGATGAAGCTGTCTGCTTCGATGAAGATGAAGATGTGCAGCCTTACAGCCATACAGAGTGGAGTCCTAGTGTGGTGCTGCAGGATAAGCATTCAATTGTAAGGTTGTTTAGAACCACAAGGTTGGTGGTTCAAACCCACCAGCCGCTCCTCAGAAAGCCCATACAGAGTAACTGAGTCGGAACTGCCTCAATGGCACTCAACACTCACAGCCATATGAAGCAGGCTCTACTCTGCCCTCTAGAGTCTCCATCAGTGGGAATCAAGTCATAGGCAGTGGTTTTGATTTGTTCTGCAGGGACCTTTTTATTTTTTTATTTTATTTCTAATGTTTTATTGTGAGTTATATGATAGTTTACATGAGAGAACCTCAGTTCCATATTCATTCCATCTTATATCATTATATTGCCATGGTTCCAATCCCCTCCATGCATTGTCTTCTGACCAAAGGGCATATCCTAGAAGCCCCTGCTCTACACTCCCCCCTCCCCCCTCAGTCTTCGGCCCACAGTTCCTTTCCCTCTCTGGATCCAAAGTCCCCAGCCGCTTCATCCCTCCATGTCATCATCTCTGTTTCTCCATCTCAGGCATCCCCGGTTCTCTGGGTGGGGTCCCGTTCTCGGCTCTTATCCGTTGGTGGTCCCAGAGACCTCCGCTCCTAGACTGGAGAAATAATCGCTCTCTTCCTTGCTACAAACCATCTACCCTTGCATTTCCAACACTCACAATCCGTCTTGATAACCATTATTCACTACAACATCGCACGTAACCCATCTGTATTTCATCAGCTCCACCTAGACAAATTGGATAGTACTCACTGGTGATTCTGCCTTCCTCCATGCCCCCTAGCTCTAGGTTCCCTCTTGAAAGCTTGTAAGCCCGTTACTTCTTGCTTTTGTAGTCCTTCCCTCCCCATTTGGGTATCCAACGTCCGAGTTGCCCCTGTCTGTCTACTCTGTGTGTGGAGGGGGTGGGAATGTTTCTTGCTGTAAGGATTTATCGCCTCTTTTGTGTGCAGGGACCTTTTTAATCTCGTTAGATTTCATTTCCTGAAGTGCTTGCCTCTGGGCATTTAAAGGTAAGTAAAAGTAGAAATTCCAGCTCTGCCTTGATTTAGCTATGTGAAAGAAAAAAATTAGTCAAATAGCTTACTTTGATTTTAAGGGATATTTTTTACCCACAAAACCAAATATTAACTGAATAAAAAAGTCTGACACAAACTGTAAAAGCATTAGGGATTTTTTTTCTTTCTCTCTCAAAGGACTTCTGCAGTACTGTCTTTCCTGGATAAGAAGGGTGGTTACTAACAGATTTAATGAAAAAGACTGTGCGTGTCTTTTAATTTCAACAGGTCCCATAGCTACAAAGGAGTATATATAGGGTACTTGGTCACTATGGAAACTTGTATTCATTAAGGAAAAAGAAAACAATATTTAAGCAACAGGAAAGTCTTCAGTCATCAGGTGTGTCTTTTGTTTTCATGCATGGGAGACTGCTCCCATTTACAAATGGCTTATTAAATTATGACAATTGTTATGATACTGAATATTGTATTATTTAATTCAAAGGTTTACTTTTGAAATGTTAACTATTCTACTGTGGGCCCCTTGTTTGCAAAGGTGGAATGATCTCCCAGCATGCACATGGTTGCTCGGATTCAACCTTGTTTCAAGTTTTTTGAGTTTTTGATTGATCTATGCCAAAATACTTGGAAGACTGCTACCTGGCCAACCGATTGGAAAAGATCCATATTTGTGCCCATTCCAAAGAGTGGTGGGTGAACAATATTATTAATATCATTGAACAATATTATTAATATCGCATGCAAGTAAAATTTTGCTGAAGGTAATTGAAAAATGGCTGTAACAACACATTGACAGGGAACTTCCAGAAATTCGAGCCGGATTCAGTAGATGAGGAACAAGGAATATCACTGCTGACATCAGATGGATGTTGGCTGAAAGCAGAGAATACCAGAACGATGCTTACTTGTGGTTTTATTGATTATGCAAAGGCTTCATGACAAGCTATGGATAACATTGAGAAGAATGGGTATTCCCGAATACTCACTTGTGCTCATGGAGAATCTGCGCACAGACCAAAAGGCAGGCAGTCTTTAGAACACAACAAGGGGGTACTGCTGCGTCTGCTGTGGTGTGTCCAGTCAGATCTGACTCTGAGCAGCCCTGCGTAGGGTTCCCAAGGCTGTAAATCCAACAGGAGCAGGAAGCCTCAGCTTTCTCCTGTGGAGCAGCTGGAGAATTCAAACTGCTGACTCTGACAGGTAACCCACCAGGGCTTACTAAGGGGATACTGAATGGCTTAAAATCAGGAAAGGTGAGTCCCAGGGTTCAGTCTGTATGCTGAAGAAATAATCCAATATTAGGATTGGGGTAAGACTCATTAACAACTTGTAATATATTCAGATAATAAAACCTTGCTTGCTGAAAGCGAAGAGGAATTAAATACTTACTGATGAAGATCAAAGATTACACACAGCCTTCATTCAGTATGGATTGCACCTCAATGTAAAGAAAACAAAAATCCTCACAACTGGACCGATAAATAAACTCATGATAAATGGAGAAAAGATTGAAGTCATCAAAGACTTCTTTATGCTTGGATCCACAATCAACACTCATGAAAATCGAAGTCAATAAATCAAATGGCGTATTACACTAGGCAAATCTACAGCAAAAGATCTCTTTAAAATGTTCAAGATGCCAGTTTGAGGACCGAGGTGCACCTGACCCAAGCCATGGTATTTTCAATAGCATCATGTGCAAGCTGGACAGTGAATAAGAAAGACCAGAGAAAAACTGATGCATTGGAATTATGGTGTTCGAGGAGAGTAATGAGAGGACTACAGACTGCCAGAAAAACAAACCAATTTGTGTTGGAAGAAGTGCAGCTAGAATGCTCCGTAGAACCCAGAATTGTGACTTTGTTTGTCATACTTTGGATGTGTTATCAGGGGTACCAGTCCCTGGAGGACATCATGCATGGCAAAATAGTGAGTTGGCAAAAAAGAGGAAGGCCTCCAACGAGATGGACTGGCACAGTGACAACAACAAAGGGCTCAAATGTAACAATAACTGAGGATGGTGCAGGACTGGGCAGTGTTTCGTTCTATTGTGCACAGGGTCTCGAATGAGTTGAAACTGACTCCACATTACCTAACAACAACACTAGCAGCACGACAGTAGGCAAATCACTAAACCTGCGTTTTAATTTTAGAAATAGAAAGCTTTAGAAAAGTACAAATCCTTATTCATAATTGGGGCCTAGGCAGGCCAAGCTCTCCCTTAGCCCTGCATGGAGCACCCCCCACCCTAATCACTTTGTTGACTCAGGTTTTGTTGTGTTTATTTTCATCACAAACAAAACTGACCAGTGCTGTGACTCAGTCATAGAAGGTGGTCTGCTGTGAATAACAGGAGCTGCTAACTGCAAAGTTAGCCATTTTAACCCACCAAGTGAGAAAGAGTCAACTTTCTGCTCCGGAAAAGATTTAACTTACAAAGGGTCACTATTAGTTGGAATCGACTTAAAGGCAATGGGTTTGGTTTTGATTTACTGTCAATAAAACAACTCCAGAATCAAGGCATAAAACGTCTCTCAGATTATTAGTGGACAGAAAACAAACTGAAATTGTCTTCAGTATTAGATTTGATTACGTGCACTCAAGTTATGAAATTGGTGATTTTATCCCAACAAAAAACAACATAGCTCTACAGACAGTTGCCTTTTATAGTCATTTTAACCTATAAAACGTAAAGCATTCTTAGAGAGTATTTTAATCAATATATTAAGGCTTAAGGTAATCATTGTTTTAGGCAGAAAAAGGTAATTAATAGTACATCTTAAACATAACAGTTTACATTCAGGATCTTAAAAACAAAGAGTTTACCATCTTACAATGAAGGCAACAAAATATTAGCTTGCCCAGTTTTGTTTTGTTTTCCATTCAACATATCTTCTTTCCACCTACCAATATCTGGTGGACAAGAACGAGCTAAATTTTTTTGACAAAAAAAACCCAACAACAACCAGTTGATTATTACGATCTGAAGTATTTACTTTTCAGGAGAAAGGTTTCACTGAGTTGTCTGGACAGTTAGTAATACAGCTTATAACCAAGCTGAACCACGTGATGAAACCTCTTTTATAGCAAGAGCAGCTATAAAAGGTACTGAGGAAAGGGGAACACAGAAATGTTCCTTTTCATACATCCCAATCCTGAGGAAGGAAGGTGTTGATAACCGGGAAAGAGTAACCAGCCAAGTCATCTAGCACAATACCCACCCTAGTCAAATATCCACTAAGGCAGTTTGCAGGGACCCTCATCAAGGTTGTGTGTGGCTCCCCAGTAAGAGGTAGTCACAGAAACCGCTAAGGGGCCCAGGTCTGCATAGACAGACTTAGCCATCAAAACCGACAAGCCACAGGCATTAACGGAGAAGGCCTGCTCACACAGTAACAAGGATCCCACATGGCCAGGCCCTCCAGCGGAAGAGCATGGGTAAGTCTTGAAAGGAGGAGAAGTAAGTGCTGATGTATGTCCAATCTTAAGGGTTTCCCCATCAGCCCCAGTGCGCCTGAGGGTCCTGAGGGAACTACAGGATCCAATCACTGGCGGACTGGGGGGGTGGTGGGGTGGTGGTGGTGCAGGCAGAGTCACATCCCGCCGGGCTCCTCGCTCCCTGCCATCACGGAGGCTCCCTGCCATCACGGAGTCGGTCCTGCTCCTAGAAGTACTCCTCCTCATCAAAGAAGCCGTTTTCCAGTGCATACAAGCAGTCTGGGCTGGAGGCGGCCTGGCATGCTCCCTTGTATTCCTGAATTGACTCATAGAGACTGTAGAGTTGACAGAGCAGGGACATGTCCAGCTGTCGCAGGCCAACCTTGCAGAGGGGTAGGAAGATAAAAGAATTCAACACGGGTTAAATTTAAGATGGCACACTCCGCCAGCAGTCTGCTAGTGGCAGAACATTCTTTCTACCCAACTTATGACTCAAAGCACTGCTTGGATACTTACATTTTCAGTTTTGAGAAAATCTTAATTGAGTCTCCCCACACCCCAGATAATTACTTGGTGTGTCAGGGAAGGATTAGGGCTGTGGAGTAGTGAGCCCCCACCTAGGGTGCTCCTAAACACACCTGCTGATGCCACAGTACTGCACAGCTGGTATTTCCAGCTGGTGTCACTTTGGAAACTGAAGTGCAAGTGTGTCATTTCCTCTCCCTGTGGTCAGGTGAAGGGAAGACCCACACACCCTTCCCTGCCATGGTGTCAGGATCCCTAGAGACCCAGGCATTCTCAAGATTCCCTGGGCAACAGGTCCCCTGTGCTTGCTGTCTCCAGTGGCTCACCAGTCAGCATCACACACAGCCGCCTGGAGCCAGACCCCCACTCCCGAGAGCTTCCAGCTTACCCAGGAATGGTTATGGGTGGGTTCCTCAGGGTGAATGAGGTAAGAAAGAGCCTAGTAAGGGAGGATCCCGTACAGATTTCACAAGTGATGAAAAAGTTATAAATACAACTTCTTGTTGTTAAGTGCCGTCAAGTCAGTTCTGACCCATAGTCAACCTATATAGTTTCCAAGCAGCAGCTGGTGAGCTTGAACTGCTGGCCTTGCAACTCAAACCGACTTTGCAGTCCAGCACATTAACCACAGAGCCACACCAGGAGTTCACTAACAACTCAGATACCTGCGTATCTTCAGATTTCTCTCTTCCCCACAACCCATCCCAGTGAAAAGAGCATCATCAGACCAGGAGCGCATGATTACATCTATATATTCCAGGGCGTCCTATACTTCCAGGCCCATGAGCATCCCTCTGGCCTCTTGTCAAAAATGTTTGGTGGATCAGGCCACTGGCAGTCCCGGCTTCTAACAAATTCACTGGTGGTGCGGATGCAGCATGCTGCCTGTCCCCCTCATGCAGGAAAGCTCCTCCAAACACGGCAACAGGAGACGTGCTTTCATCTTGGGTCTTAAGAAGATACTACTGTCCATCTCAAGGAGCTCTGGTAGCGTAGCAGTTACAAATCGGGCTGCTAACCTCAGGGTCAGCAGTTCAAAACTACCAGCTGTTCCGCGGGAGAAAGATGAGGTTTTCTGCTTCCATAAAGATATGTAGCCTTGGAAACCCTGTACAGGGTCGCTATGAGTAGTAACCGACTCCATGGCACATAACAACAACTGTCCATCTCTAGCCATGGTTGATGTTCCGAGGAATAAGAGTTTATCCGACGAAGTGTACCGAGTGCTGTGCTAGGTGCATGGCATGTGCACATAGAAAACACGCAGGAAGCATTCAGGATTCATTAAGTCCGACGAGCAGCTTCCCCCTAAGACAGACTTTTACAAAAGGAAGCTGAAGCCAAGAGAGAAATACAAAACTGGGTATTGAATTCTAGGTTATTACTCAAAGTCAATCACCAAGTAAGCAAAGAGTTCTGCACGAGAGGGAACAAACAAGATGGTGGATTGGGTGGATGTATAGCAGAGAGCTCCGCCAGCAACAACACAGAATACCCGACCAAGCAGGTTCAGGGGATGGTCACAGAACTCTGAACCACATGTAAAGGAATACTTAGAAGGTTGAAAGGCTCACAGCTGGGGGAATTTGTGGCAGAAGCAAGAAATCTATTGCTTTCTAGTCCAGGACGCTCGGCTGCTCCAGGAGCCTCCATCTTGGATGAGACCACGTGGGGAAAGGATCGGAGCGGCCACAGACGCCTGGCAGAACCGCTGAGATAAAGGTGTGGACATTCTTCTCTTTTGGTATCTGTTCATTGGTCCCTTGCTGTCAGCGCATCTCCATTCTGGTGACTATAGGGGTGCCTGAGCTAGTGGGCACCCCAGCCCCAACCTTGGAGGGTTCTACTACGCATGCGCACAGATCTCCTCGAAATTTAAAGAGACAGTTTCCGATTAAAACCAAACGGCCACAGCTGGATCTGAACTGTTTCAACTAGAAAAAGGACTGAACGGGAATTGTGGAACGGGACAAGCAGACAAAAATGGAAAAAGGCCGAAAATTAAATCCTAAGTTACGTCAAAATGACCAACAGTGGTATCTTGAAATTTCTCAGGAAGAAGAGTGAAAAGGGAAGCCCATTTCCTGATCACATCTACCTGGAGGCATAAAAAATACCAAAATACACACCCATCTAAG